TTTCTTTCTCTTTGCTGACTGTAACTGATTGTAACTTTTTTCTCTGTTCTCTTTGCTGACTGTAACTTTTCTCTGTTCTCTTTGCTGACTGTAACTTTTCTCCTGTCTCTTTGTTCGCCTAGCTGACTGTAACATTTCTCTGTTCCCTTTGCTGATTGTAACTTTTTCTCTGTTCTCTTTGCTGACTGTAACTTTTCTCTCCTGTCTTTGTTCGCCTAGCTGACTGTAACTTTTCTCTGTTCCATTTGCTGATTGTAACTTTTTCTCTGTTTTTGACTGTAACTTTTCTCCTGTCTCTTTGTTCGCCTAGCTGACTGTAACTTTTCTCTGTTCTCTTTTGTAACTTTTCTCTGTTCTTCTTTGCTGACTGTAACTTTTTCTGTTCTCTCTTTTGCTGACTGTAACTTTTCTGTGCTCTTTGCTGACTGTAACTTTTCTCTGTTCTCTTTGCTGACTGTAACTTTTCTTCTGACTGTAACTTTTCTCTGTTCTCTCTGCTGACTGTAACTTTTCTCTGTTCTCTTTGTTGTAACTTTTCTCTGTTCTCTTTGCTGACTGTAACTTTTCTCCTGTAAACTTTTCTCCTTTGTCTCTTTGTTCGCCTTGATGACTGTAACTTTTCTCTGTTCTAACTTTGTTCTGCTGATTGTAACTTTTCTCTGTTCTCTTTGCTTTTCTCTGTGCTCTTGCTGACTGTAACTTGTTCTCTTTGCTGACTGTAACTTTTCTCCTGTCTTTTTGTTCGCCTGACTGACTGTAACTTTTCTCCTTTTGCTGATTGTAATTTTTCACTGTTTTTGCTGACTGTAACTTTTCTCTGTTCTCTTTGCTGACTGTAACTTTTCTCCTGTCTCTTTGTTCGCCTTTGCTGACTGTAACTTTTCTTCCTTCTGCTGATTGTAACTTTTCTTCTGTTCTCTTTGCTGACTGTAACTTTTCTCTTTTGACTGTAACTCTCTGTTCTCTTTGCTGACTGTAACTTTTCTCCTGTCTCTTTGTTCGCCTAGCTGACTGTAACATTTCTCTGTTCCTTTGCTGATTGTAACTTTTCTTTCTCTTTGCTTCTTTTCTCTGTGCTTTGCTGACTGTAACTTTTCTCCTGTCTCTTTGTTCGCTGACTGTAACTTTCTCTGTTCTCTTTGCTGATTGTAACTTTTCTCTCTTTGCTGACTGTAACTTTTCTTTTCTCTTTTGCTGACTGTAACTTTTCTCCTGTCTCTTTGTTCGTCTCTGTAACATTTCTCTGTTCCCTTTGCTGATTGTAACTTTTTCTCTGTTCTCTTTGCTGACTGTAACTTTTCTCCTGTCTCTTTTTCGTTCTGTAACTTTTCTAGTTCCCTTTGCTGATTGTAACTTTTCTCTGTTCTCTTTGCTGACTTGTTCTCTTTGCTTTGTCTCTTTGTTCGCCTAGCTGACTGTAACTTTTCTGTTCTGTTGACTGTAACTTTTCTCTTTCTCTTTGCTTGTTCTTTGTTCGCCTAGCTGACTGTAACTTTTCTGTTCTCTCTGCTGATTGTAACTTTTGACTGTAACTTTTCTCTGTTCTCTTTGCTGACTGCTTTTCTCCTGTCTCTTTGTTCGCCCTAGCTGACTGTAACATTTCTCTGTTCCCTTTGCTGATTGTAACTTTCTCTGTTCTTTTGCTGACTGTCTCTGTTCTCTTTGCTGACTGTAACTTTTCTCCTGTCTCTTTTGTTCGCCTAGCTGACTGTAACTTTTCTGATTTTAACTTTTCTCTCTTTGCTGACTGTAACTTTTTTCTCTGTGCTTGTAACTTTTCTCTGTTCTCTTTGCTGACTGTAACTTTTCTCTGTCTCTTTGTTCGCCTAGCTGACTGTAACTTTTCTCTGTTCCTTTTGCTGATTGTAACTTTTCACTGTTCTCTTTGCTGACTGTAACTTTTCTCTGTTCTCTTTGCTGACTGTAACTTTTCTCCTGTCTCTTTGTTCGCCTAGCTGACTCTAACTTTTCTGTTCTCTCTGCTGATTGTAACTTTTCTCTTTGCTGACTGTAACTTTTCTCTGTGCTCTTTGCTGACTGTAACTTTTCTCTGTTCTATTTGCTGACTTTTTTCTCCTGTCTCTTTGTTCGCCTTTGTAATATTTCTCTGTTCCCTTTGCTGATTGTAACTTTTCTCTGTTCTCTTTGCTGACTGTAAATTTTCTCCTGTCTCTTTGTTCGCCTAGCTGACTGTAACTTTTCTCTGTTCTCTCTGCTGATTGTAACTTTTCTCTGTTCTCTTTGCTGACTGTAACTTTTCTCTGTGCTCTTTGCTGACTGTAACTTTTCTCTGTTCTCTTTGCTGACTGTAACTTTTCTCTGTTCTCTTTGCTGACTGTAACTTTTCTCCTGTCTCTTTGTTCGCCTAGCTGACTGTAACTTTTCTCTCTGCTGATTGTAACTTTCTCTGTTCCTTTTGCTGATTGTAACTTTTCTCTGTTCTTTGCTGACTGTAACTTTTCTCCTGTCTCTTTGTTCGCCTAGATGACTGTAACTTTTCTCTGTTCTCTTTGCTGACTGTAACTTTTCTCTGTTCTCTTTGCTGACTGTAACTTTTCTCCTGTCTCTTTGTTCGCCTAGCTGACTGTAACTGTTCTCTTTGCTGATTGTAACTTTTCTCTGTTCTCTTTGCTGACTGTAACTTTTCTCCTGTCTCTTTGTTCGCCTAGCTGACTCTAACATTTGTCTGTTAATTTTGCTGATTGTAACTTTTCTCTGTTCTCTTTGCTGAGTGTTCTCTTTTTGTTCGCTGCTGACTGTAACTGTACTGTAACTTTTCTCCTGTCTCTTTTTCGCCTGCTGACTGTAACTTTTCTCTCTTCTCTTTGCTGACTGTAACTTTTCTCCTGTCTCTTTTGTTCGCCTGTAACTTTTCTCTGTTCTCTTTGCTGACTGTAACTTTTTTCCTGTCTCTTTTGTTCGCCTAGCTGACTGTAACTTTTCTCTGTTCCTTTTTGCTTTGTTCTGACTGTAACTTTTCTCTGTTCTCTTTGCTGATTGTAACTTTTCTCCTGTCTCTTTGTTCGCCTAGCTGACTGTAACTTTTCTCTGTTCTCTCTGCTGATTGTAACTTTTCTCTGTTCTCTTTGCTGACTGTAACTTTTCTCTGTGCTCTTTGCTGACTGTAACTTTTCTCTGTTCTCTTTGCTGACTGTAACTTTTCTCTGTTCACTTTGCTGACTGTAACTTTTCTCTGTGCTCTTTTGCTGACTGTAACTTTTCTCCTGTCTCTTTGCTGACTGTAACTTTTCTCTGTTCTCTTTGCTGACTGTAACATTTTATCCGAAATCTCAAAGGAAAACTTCTGTCTCCTTCATTAAATAACAAAATGGACAGTTGTTAATCTGAAGGGGACAACTGAAATTCCAGAAATACATATTTAGGAAAAGGGGCTCGGAGAATTAGACTGGCAGAGAAAAACAGATAATGTTTATAATTTTTAAAATGTTACTAATTTTTAAAATGTTGATAATTTTCAAAATATTTGTCATTTTAAAAATGTTGATTATTTTTAAAATATTCGTCATTTTTAATATGCTGATAATTTTTAAAATGTTGATATTTTTTATAATGTTATTAATTTTTAAAATGTTGGTCAATTTTACTATATTCATAATTTTTAGAATGTTCATTTTAATATGTTGATAATTTTTAGAATGTTCATTTTAATATGTTGATAATTTTAATATGCGGATAATTTTTAGAATGTTGATAATTTTAATACATTGACCATTTTTAAAATGTTGATAATTTATAATATGTTGATAATTTTAAAATATTATTTTAATATGTTGATAAGATGTTAATAATGTTGCATATATCGATATAAATACTTATAAAGCCTCTAAAACTTTTCCATCATCTGTTTGCTTAATAAGAATTCTACTGTGAAAAATCATTGACTTGCTTATTAAAATCTCACATGGGATATATCCGAGGCGTGGGGATGAACATCTACATGCTTAGGATTTTGAAATAGGTGTGTGTTAAGAGGCATAAGGCCAGAATCGGAAAGATAGTGCGCCGATGTGCTGGCGTTGTACAACGAAGAATTGTCCGTGGCGACATGTGCCTAAACTTCTCCTGCCACCACCAACACTTTATCCGCCGCCGCCGCCGCTGCCTGGGGCCTAATGAATCATAGAAGCAAGGCGAGAATTGCAATTAATTTTTTCGCGTTGCGCCGCTAATTATTTGACATGACCCAGCTGCGGAAGTGTCGCCATTTACCAGAGGCATCCATTACAAACGCAAAATAGGCTACAGATTGGAAAGGAGGCGAACAAAAAAGCAAAGAAAAAGGGAACAGAAAAGAAAAACGAAACAACAATGACTGTTTATTATTATTATTATTATTATTATTTTAGTAAAGAGGGATGAGAAGAAAGAAAATGGGGGAAGGTTTGAACAAATAAGTGTAAAATTAGAGAAAGCAATGTAATGAAAAGAAACAGGAGAACGGAAAGATAAAGAACGTACAATATCTATCTATCTATCTATCTATATATCTATATATATATATATATATATATATATATATATATATATATATATATATATATGTGTGTGTGTGTGTCTGTGTGTGTGTCTGTGTGTGTGTACTTTTCATATCATTATATCTATCGATCTATATATATTATTATCTATATAACTATCTATGTCTGTTCATATTTATGTCTATCTCAGCCTCGTCATAAATATCTCGGCCATTTCATATCCATCTATCTGTATATATTCATATCTATCTATAACAGTTCTTATCTATCTATCTATCTATATATATATATATATGTGTGTGTGTCTGTGTGTGTGTGTCTGTGTATGTGTCTATGTCTGTGTGTTCATATCTATGTCTATCTATCTCAGTCTGATTATAAATATTTCACCCAGCCCATATTTATCTAGCTAGCTAGCTAGCTCGCTATCTATGTCTGTTCATATTTATGTCTCTCTAACTCAACCAAGTCATAAATATCTCATCCAGTTCATATCTATCTATATCAGTTCATATCTGTCCAGATAGATAGATAGATAGATAGATAGATAGATAGATAGATAGATAGATAGATAGAAATTAGGCTAAAATATACACGAAAGGACAAAATCTGTGTATGAAAGCCGATGAAGATTATAGGTCAAGGAATCTCACTATCTCCTCTTTCTTTTCTCTCTCTCTCTATATATATATATATATATATATATATATATACATATATATATATATATATATATATATATATAGTATAGTATAGGTTATTACATTCGCACACATATTACCGCTTACTATACATTTTTAGCGGTAATATAAGTTCGAATGTAATAACCTATAATAAAGAATTATAGATCTTCTTTTGTATTGAGCTCTATTTTAAATTAATATTATGAACGTTTAAATTTGTATTTGATTCGTTCTGATTGCATTTGGACACACACACACACACACACACACATATATATATATATATATATATATATATATATATATCAATTGAATTTAAAATGGGTGAAATTTACGAGAATTTAACGTATTCCTCAGTTAGGCAAAATTTCCAAAAAATGAATAATTCTCAAACAGAAATAATGAAAAACTAACATAAATTGATAGATAGATAGATAGATAGATAGATAGATAGATAGATAGATAGATAGATAGATAGATAGATTTTCGAAACACAGGTCGCAGGATCTTATATTATACCTTAAATATTATATGCCACCGTATTCTTCAGTCAGGCAAAATTGCCAAAAAATAGATCATTCTCAAACAGAAATAATGAAAAACTAACATAGATAGATAGATAGATAGATAGATAGATAGATAGATAGATAGATAGATAGATAGATAGATTTTCGAAACACAGGTCGCAGGATCTTACATTATACCTTAAATATCATATGCCACCATCTGCGTAGGTCCCAGGACCTAAAATTCAATCTCCCCAGGTCAGCTATACATTCGGAAAACCAGTTCGGAGTGGATAACAGATCTCTACAGAAAGTCTGGTAACTCAGCGAAAAGAACGAAACTCCAACAGGAATAGCTACCTTACTAATAATCATCCAGCTTAGTTTCGCCATGTGAAATCGACACTTAAATCTTTGGGTTGGTCCTGTGTGCACATTATTGCATCTTAAAACTTTACTAGAGCAGGCCTGATGTCTGGCGCACGTTTTTACACCAGACGTCTGAAACCGTCACAAATGAACAGTTCACAAAACTAACGAATGAGTCCTTAAAGTAAAAGAATTTTTTGACACATTCTACCCTGATGTCATGATAACATGGGTTACGTAAACAGTATAACACCTTGGATAGAACGAGCTTTCATTTCTTCTTCTATATATCATTTCCCTTCAGAATAGATCATGGATCTCCACAACATCCTTTCCTTTTAAGCTCTTAGTAACGTTTCTCTTTTCGATTTTCCTTCCAATCCCTGATCTTCTATCTATTTACACATTCTCGTTAGGTAGATTACTCAATGCTTTATTCCTTCCCTCTTGCCTCCAATATGCCCCGTGAGTGTCAAAATTTCTAAGCCCTCTTTCCTCATTATGCGTCCTAGAATCGTCAACTGCTTCTTTCTGATTCAAAGTGTAAGCGACCTTTTTGTTTCCATTTTCCTTAAACTTTCCTCGTTGTTTACATGCTCCGTTCATGATATTCTCAGCATCCTTCTGTAGAATTGTCTCTCAGCTCACGTCTTCAACTGTGAGGAAATTATCCAGCATTCATAGACGGGTATAACAGTGCAAGACATTTCACAGTCACCACCACTGGCTATGCGTTTACGCCACCGATACGTCCTGGGTATCAGGATCAGGAGGTTTTGAGGGCCGTAGAACCACCTGTTAACTGCTGTTGTTCTAAGGCCCACCCGGAGTAGTAACACCTGTTAGAGGTCCCCCCAGCTACGGACAAATAGTGAACCCCGAAACAAAAATCAACAGTATATTTTTATACTAAAATAATCAACAATACATTTTTATAGAATGACAATCAATGCAACACTAAAAAATTATAAAAATACATGTTTATAGTAAAATTACTGATATAATGAAATATGCATACACCTGTGTTCCCCCTCACTGGAATATGATTGGCTAGTGTCCGTCATAAATACCGACGGACATGTAGGTGAGTCAAAGAGCCTTAGTCTGAGAGCTAAGTCTATAACGACGCCCATTGGACTATGCCATTGATCTACACTTCTTACCTGCGACTATGATGCGTACCAGTCGATTACTGCTACCGTATTCTACTTGGTTATAGTAGCCAAAACCACTTAGCTACTTCGTTCAAATATATCCCTTTCCGGGACATATCAATTACCAGTAATACATTTTATGATCTACAAATTATATATCGAAAAAAAAAACATACGTTTACTCTGAAAGCATAAAAATTATTTACAAAACATTTAGATTTTGGCATTAAATAACCCATAGAGGTTGATAGGGCACTGAAAAAAAATTACCAACTAAAATTACCTATTCATAGTAAAATTAACAACAATACAAATTTAAAGAAAAACTACCAACAATACATTTTCTGTAGTTGAAGGTGTACAATAGCATTCAAAATATATTTAGTTGAAGCCATAAAATTACGTACAAAATATTTTGATTTTGGCATTAAATAGTCCATACAGATTCATATGCTGCGAAACAAAATGAACCAACCAAAAATACCTATTTATAGTGAAATTACCAATGATACCTATTTATATTATTAGGTTGGTGCAAAAATAATGACGTAATAATGTCGTTTTTTGACGTATTTTTTAACGTCAAAAACGACATTATTACGTCATTATTTTTGCACCAACCTAATAAAATTACAAACCATACATATTTAAAGCAAGATGACCAACATAACATTTTCTGCATTTGAAGCCACATTTAAAGCAAAATTTCTTTAGTTGGGGGCATACAATTGCATTTAAAATATGCCGCTAAACAAAATCAGCCAACTATGCCACTGATAAAAAAAATAAATGCCTGCAAATTCCACTCGAAAAACCTAGATTCTTGCGCCCATCGCAGTTGCCATTGTTGAAAAGCATTACCCGCAACATGACTGAGCATCCATCCACTGTTTGGTTTCCTAAATTTTTTAGTAAACTTCAATGAATGTGAATGTAGGCAATATTTTGTGACTGGAGGAATTCCCTCAAAATACAACTGCTTTCTTATCAGTCTATCTATCTATCTATCTATCTATCTATGGCTTTATATCTATTAAGCAATTTTTGTCAGTTTTTAGCTATTTCTGTTTGATCTTTATCTATCTCCGCATACTCATTATCTATCAATCTATCTATCAATCTACCTATTAAGCTGAGACTTTTAACAGAATCGTGTAAAGCATGAAAAACTCGTGAGAGACGTTCATTAAGGGCGTTGATGTTAATTTTTCTTAGAGAGTAAGCACTTAATTTGATCTGAGCGTATAATGAAAATAGTCTCGTCTGCCTTAATAAGGCAGGCTTCCGTAATCATCAAAGACGTCACACACACAAGGGAGGCGTTCACGAGACGGTATGTGGCAGTTCTACTTGCAGAGAGTGTAAAAAATAATGTGCCTCAGTTGGTGGACTAAAACGTTATACGAAAATTCATCAAAATATTAATTTAGCAGCTACTGCAAGAGATGTCGGATGTTGCTACATCAGCGTAAGAGAATGTAAGACGTTAGCAGGACCAAGAAGAAACATCCGAACTGTCTATGAGGATAAATCAAGCTTTGGATTGACTCGAAATCGAGCTGCAGCCATCATCTAGATAGATAGATAGATAGATAGATAGATAGATAGATAGATAGATAGATAGATAGATATGTAGCGAGAAGGATGAAACGAGGCACGCATAAAAGCGTAAGCCCAGATGCCTAAGTAAGCAATCTAAGAACTTCAAAAATGCACGTAAATTAGCTTGTATTACTGACAAACGTCATTCTGAAAACAACACGTATCAGATTTGATTTTGATCCCTGTTTTCTTTTGTGGGCCTTATTTATTTCTTTGTCCCGCGTGTACGTGACTGTTAAAGAAAGAAAGAAAGAAAGAAAGAAAGAAAGAAAGAAAGAAAGAAAGAAAAGAATAGAAAGTTTGAAAAGAAAGAAAAAACAAAAAAAAAAAAAATGAAATGGTTTGAAGAAAAAAAGAAACAAGCAAAGAAAAAAAAGAAGATTAAAGGTAAAAAGAAAGAAAGAAAGAAAAGAAATAGGAAAAAGTTTGAAAAAAAGAAACAAGCAAAGAAAAAAAATGAGTTTATGGTAAAATTTTAAGAAAGAAAGAAAGAAAGAAAAAAAGAAAGAAAGAAAGACTATAGGAAATAGTTTGAGAAAGAAAGAAACAAGCAAATAAAAAAATTAGAATATGGTAAAATTTTAAGAAAGAAAGAAAGAAAGAAAGAAAGAAAGAAAGAAAGAAAGAAAGAAAGAAAGAAAGAAAGAAAGAAAAGCAGACGATAGGAAATAGTTTAAGAAAGAAAGAAACAAGTAAAGAAAAAAATGAGATTATGGTAAAAAATTTTAAGAAAGAAAGAAAGAAAGAAAGAAAGAAAGAAAAGTAGACTATAGGAAATAGTTTGAGAAAGAAAGAAACAAGCAAATAAAAAAATGAGATTATGGTAAAATTTTAAGAAAGAAAGAAAAAAGAAAGAAAGAAAGAAATACACAAAAGAAAGAAAGAAAGAAACGGAGAGTGAAAAAGAAAGAAAAAGGGAATATTTTGAAAAAAAAAGAAACAGCGGAAGAAGCAAAAAATATAAACCTACATAGATTCATACATGTATACATATTCGGGTGTAATGTTCTTTAAAAGAAAAAGAAAATACTTTCTTTTTTAGAGGGATTTTTTTTTCTTGATGATGGTATGAAAGGAATTGTTGATTTTAGGAAATTATATCAGAAGAAGGTTTTCTTTCCTCCCTGTTTTTTTTTGTTTTTTTTTATCTATTATTATTTTGTTTGTTTTGTTTTGACGCTAACTCATTTTTAAATAGATTTTATTTTGTTTTACCTTTTAATGTATATTAGACACGTCGTGTCAAATTCACTGATCAGCATCGGCGTAAGAAAGAAAAACGCTCCTTTGCACCTGAACACAGGTAAATATTACGACCGTTATTTACCCTTTTTACTCTTTTCTCCCTCCGCGTTCTCATCTAGTACCCTTGCAAAGAATGTTCCAGAGGAAAGAAAGGAGATACGCAAGCTTGGTGATATATCTTAATTTTTGCTGTTGTTCGAAAAACGATATCTTAATTTGAAATACTCATTAAAAATGGAACAAATCTAAAATTTCTGTGCACAATTCTTTTATTTCTTCTTTATGAAAAGATGGGATTCCGGAGTGGAAAAAATTATCAACAAACAAGTAAGGAGTTGGTGAGTAGACAGTAAAACGTTGTAGACTTAATCCATGATAAACTCTGAGAAAGTTGAAAAAAAATCTCAATAAATCTTTATTGTTAAGATCATAGAAAAAGTGAAGATTTACACTAAAATGCCACGATCTGAACACCAGCAAAAGTGGGCTGATTTGCAGTCTAGGAACCGCGCTCAGTTTCTGCTAAAAAAAAATTCCCATATTGTTACATTTACGTGTAAATGTACATGCTTAATTCGAAAATAACGACGATAATTTGATAAATTCTACTGTTTAGGACTTACCGACGCTAAAAGTTCGGACTTATTCGCGTCGTTGGCGGTTACGGCACGGCAGCCATTACTAGCGTTGCTTGCATACATTCGCTGCTGAATAGACATGCGCAGAACATTACCTAGTTAACGGCCTTTTTAATGATCTTATTTGTCTCAATTACTGCGCAACTGAGGACTCATTGCGTACGCAATAATTGTTGTGGTAAACCCTCCCACAGTAGAATGAACTCTTCCTCCTCTCATAAATACTAACTGCGAGACTTCCTAGCAAGAGTCGTGAGCAGCCGAGGCGCAGTCTCTGACTGTTTGCGACTTCTGCCGAACTCTCTGCTTTGGCAGACGAGGTTTTGCCGAAAGGCAAAGTTTCATACGGGGAGGTAGACAGATTCAAAGGAATATTTTTGGCCGAGCCTATGGGCTCGGAGAAACCCTCGTTAAACTCGGCCTTTTGCCACATACATTCCTTTTGGGGGGACTGTTAAATATAGTCTTGAGGCAGTCGGTTGGGAAGCGGAGACGCAGTGTTAACCTACGTACATCTCTATCTGCTTATTACTAACACTCTTGCTTTATATATATATATCTGTTATTTCAATATACTTGTTCAACCTACCTTCGTCTTCCGTGTTTTTCTTTCTGGTCCCTAAACGGGCCACAACAATAATCAAGACAAGTGAATGTCTATCCAGCAAGAATGAAAACGACACCAGTAATAACTGCCGCGATGCGAATGAGTCCGAACGTTTATTGTCGATAAGTCCAGAATGGTAGATTTTATCAAACTATCGTCGGTATTTTCGAGTTAAGCATGTACATTTACATGTAAATGTAACAATTTGCGAAATTTTTAACAGAAACTGCGCGTGGGCCCTACACTGCAAGCCAACCGAAAAGTTTCATTCTTCAGGATTTAAAATTCATGCTCAGACTCAGGGAAATAAACTCGACAAAGGATCAAATTAGCTTAGTATCTTCCTAAGTCGAGAAGTGGTGAATTATTTTCCCGAGACTTAGGTATTTTATGCATCCACCCAATTGATTGAGATCAAAATTTCAGATTTCAAAATGGTGGAATATTGATCTTTTTCCGCAATGTAAATTTAAACCTATGGCTTACGAGAACATCACGTTGAAACGAGATTTTCATGGAATTATTCACGTTTACAATCTGTCTAGGAGGATAGCATCTCTTTTCGTTAAAACTGCCAATCTGCTTTTTCTTCATATGTTCCTATATTTGCAGTAAAATGATTAACAACTATAGGCTTACAGCCACATCATGTTTAAACACAGTTTCCCGTAAGATCACGATAGGTAAGCAAACTCAAGCCTGGTCAGTACCTAGATGGGTGACCGCTTGGAAATATCAGGTGCTGTAAGCTTGGATGTGCGTGTGGCGTAATGGATAACGGCTCGAAATGTGAAATCGGAGTGTTGTGTTCGAATTCTAGCTGGGTTCGTTATATTCATTTAAACAGAAATACACTTGAGCGACCATGAATCGCAAAGAAACCTTATCGTCAAAGCGTGTCACATGCGCCCCTAACCAACCTGGACCTGCGCGGAAGGGTAATGGCCTATGCATGAATTTGGGGAAGACAGATGTCCAGGAAAGGAACTTCATAGGTTGAGAAGTAATTTTGAATCTGCGGAAATGGTCAGACTTAAAAATTGGTTAATATTTTGAAATATGGACAAGAAAAAATAGCAAACTACGTTTTTAAACAATTTAGGAACACAGGAATTACATTTTAACCATTGGAAAAGAGATCATGGACGAAAAAGATTGAGAACACCGAGTTAAACATCTTTGAATCAAGATTAACATTATGAAAGATGGATTAGAAAGAATGGCAACTAATGGATTATACGATCGTGGAAATTGCACAGCGGGAATGACATTCTGAATTATGTTAAATAGGATACATGGACAAACGAATTTATGCAAGCACATGCTTTTCTTTAATAAGATTTCTCAAATATTCAGACCGATAGACGAAAATAAATAAATGTACAGTTTAATAAATAAATGGATCCTCTACTCGAATATGAGCATACACTAAAAATAACGGTCACAGTTATATATATATATATATATATATATATATATATATATATTTTAAAAAAAAAAACAGACCACTTTAAAGTACCATTATAATAATTTATTTCACCAGAGCCCTTTTAAAAGGACGCCGGATCATCAGATAGCACATCCAACAACGAAATGAATGGTTGTTGGAAGTGCCATCTGATGATCTGGCGTCCTTTAAAAGGGACTCTGTTGAAATAAATTATTATAATGGTACCTTAAAGTGTTCTGTTTTTCTTTTAAATATTAGCTCTGGATTTACATTGAGCTCTCAGGATTTCAGCCTCCTTGGGATGACCCATACGGATTACCAAGTTCTTCATGGTGGAATCCCATGCGGTGAAACCTAGGTAGGTAGTATCTGGCTCATTAGGATTTATTTATTTTACTTTTGGTCTACTTAGTGTATTGAGCACTCTTCGTTTCGCGCGCGCGCGCGTGTGTGTGTGTGTTTGTGTGTGAAGAGATTTAAGGTACTGGACGATTTCTTTCGCACTGTTCGGAGTTTTCTGGTGCTTTCTTTTATTCCATTTTGCCTCGGATGCCAATTTGTTTGAAAATCGTGCTATCCATGTTTTTTCACCCACCGAGGTTAAATAGAGCGCGATGGGTGAATTGTCGCCATTTTATATTTTAATTTCGCACATGTTCGTTGTCTGTTTTTGATTTTGTCGACTGCACAGTATAGCAGGGTCAGATGTTCACCGTCGGTAAGAAAAAGAACATCATGACGCAATTCACTCCGCAAGAAATGGAAATTTGGAAATGGCATTTTGTACTGCTTGGAATTCGCGCCGGAAGCTTCAATACGAACATTTCAGAATGTTTGTGTGTCAATTTGTCGATAGTGAAGAGGATTCGGAAAGAGTTGGATGAGTATAATGGTGATTACGAGGGTGTTTTGTATGCTCACTAGTAATGGCGAATTTATGCCTCCATTCATCTTACCACAGGGCTTCAAACTCATCACGGAAGCCTGCATCAAGTCCTTTAAGAAGGTAGTGCTGCTTTGGGTCAAGAGGGCGTTTGGTGAAATACATCATCTCTGGCAACAGGACTCTGCACCATGCCACACAAGCAAAAGAACCCAGTCATGGCTGTCAGACAATTTCTGCGACCATATAGCATCTTACATCTGGCCACGTAACTCCCCAGACTGTAACACCGTTGATTATTACTCGTGGGGCGCAGTTGAGCGAGAAGCCCAGAAAACCTCTTGTAACATCAAAGATTCACTGAAGACATGGATTATGGCAGCATTCACCAACTTAAACAATGAGACCGTCCAGAAGAGTTGCAGGAGATTCCGAAGTTGTCTGGAGGCTGTGGTTGAAGACAATGGCGATTTTATTGAATAAATTTACTTTTTAGTATTTCAAGATATTTTTTGGCAAATATATCTTTTAAAATGAGTTGTCAGTGGGTTATTTTTCATTTTTGCCTAATTTAGACGACAATTTATCCCTCTCACCGCATGCATAGGTATTTATATATATATATATATATATATATATATATATATATGATAATATTAGTGGTCAATATACACACCCACAGACACACACACACACACACACACACACACACACATATATATATATATATATATATATATATATATATATATATAAAATTTCCAAGAGGATAGAATCCAGGTAGAACTCAATGTCCAGGACAGAGTAAGAATATAATAAAAAAGTCTCAATCACTAATATTCCATGGTTATAATTTATTACATTGTAATCGTAATCATGATCCAATTCATCACACCTACAAATTCAAAAGCCATATATATATATATATATATATATATATATATATATATATATATATATAAAATATATAAAATCCATATTAACGGAACCATTTTCACTGTTTTATATATATATATATATAAGCCATATATATATATATATATATATATATATATATATATATATAAACAGTGAAAATGGTTCCGTTAAAAGCGACATATGTCGAAGCGGTTGCCCCGAATAAACAAAGAAAGTAAATTACAACGACATCGTCATGTAAGAAGATAGAAGATGATTTTTTTTTTATTTTTTGACAGTGTGATTTTTGTAATGGAGACAGGCTTTTAAAAAAAGAAATTCTTTCAAAATACAGTTCAACTACTGCTAGACTGTGTATTGTGCAAAGCGTACAAAATCCACAGAGGCAAAATCCCCCCCCCGCCAAAACAAAAACATTGACAAAATTATACAGCTGCTATAATAGCTGTTATGTATTTGGTGGGTACAGCATAAATTTAACCAACAACAGTTACTATCGAAAGCAACTCATCTTGATGTAAATTATCTTGATCTAAAATTTATCAGCACCACTTCTAAAAGAATAGTCAACACCAAATGAAACAGCAATAACAATAAATGAAATGCAGGAATAGACAAAATAAATAGCACTAAAATACCCACTGACATATATCGGTGAAACATCGAGAAATCATAGAACATATATGAGTATCACAAGATACTACTGCACTTGGAGTTTACCATAATACAACTGATAACAATTTGAACATAATAAATGGCAGACTGATTAGAATAGAGAATTCACGAGGAAGAAAACACATTGAAAGTGCACTGATCACCCAACTTTCTAAGGGTTAACTTCAGACCGGACTCATACACAATAAAATTCAGTATATTTGTTTAATTTGTAGAAATGTAGGACTGTCATTTAATTAGATATACATGTGCACATGCAAACGTATATATGCACACAATTTTAGTGACACATAAATAGATATCAGTGTTGCAGTTCGTCTGTATGTAAAGTGAATATATTTTCTAATGAATGTAAGATTTTAAATAGGCAAACAATTTAGATTTGAAAATGGATCATTTTGCTGTCGGCGAAGCAATTTGTTACATATAAATTAAGTGCATTGACAAAGAAGATTATTTTAAGATATGAATATTTCATAAGTAAAAAAAAAATGAAAATGATATTTTCTAATTAGACTGCTGACCTAGATATATTCTGGACTCTCCTGTCATTTTTTCGACGTATGAGGGTCAAGCAACTCAGTTCCTAGGAACCGAAAGGCCAGACACCAGCATCAGATTTGATTAGAGTCGTGAAGGCTTTGGGCAGAAACAACCACACTTTTTAAAGGGCCGAATACAGAGACCTGGTGCACTACGTACCACAAGGTACCCTAACAAACTTGCGTAGGTTTTGAATTCAGAGTTTTCCTTCTCCTAGACCAGTTGCCATCCAAGGCTATAGAACACAGTCTATCCTGCTATTTACGCATAGCTGGCGGGGGTGGGGGGTTAGAAAAATAGGATTTATTAGCACGTAAATGAATTCGACTGGAATTCGAACTCGGCTCTCCGATTCCTCAATTCCTCCGTGCCCCACTCTCTATCTCTCTCTCTCTCTCTCTCTCCCCCTATATATATATATATATATATATATATATATATATATATATATATATATATATAGAAAGATATATATATATATATATATATATATATATATATATATATATATATATATATATATATATATATATATATATTCTTAATAGTAAGTATATATATATATTCTTAATAGAAAATATAAGAAACTATATTCGCTCGGAGCCAGCCTTCCCTGACGATCCGCTTAGGTGAAACCTTGGTAGGCTCTCTCTCTCTCTCTCTCTGTGTCTCTCTCTCTGTCTCTCTCTGTCTCTCTCTCTCTCTCTATCTATCTATCTATCTATATATATATATATATATATATATATAGAGAGAGAGAGAGAGAGAGACGAGCAGGTCAGTTTATTAAATGTATAGTAATAATATATACTAAAATTAGAATAATCTAGCGATTTAGTAAGTGTAGCTTGGATGTAGCTTCTGTCGAACGTATGTAGGATCGAACTCACTATTTTGTCGGAATTGATCGAAGTAGCGAAGACTGCAAAACAAAACAGGACGCACAAGGTCCGCAGGACTGATATATAAGTGATTTGCTATGCTTAGCTTAGATGTGGCTCAAGGCCTAAAGTAGGGAGCACCTAGTGAGTATCGAATTCCTTACTTAGTCGTAATTCATCTTGCGTGACCAGTCGGCCAAACCGAATATGGCTCACAGGACTGGGTGCACATCGAGACGGTGTAATGGTTAGCAATCTTGTCTCGCTAAAACAATTACGACTGAGTAGTGAGTTTCATCCTCACTGGGTGGCCCATACTTTCGGCCTTGTTCCACATGTAAACTACGCTTGGAAAATCAGTATGGCCCACAAGACTGATATTTAGTGTACGTGCCATGA